GAAAAATATGTTATAATTTTCTTTAAAGCTTGTCATGCCTAGAAACATTTCCTCTTTCTGACATGGAAACATTCTAATGCAAACTCTGGACCAGCCAGTATAAAGATTGCAGTTTTTTTCTCTGTATATAATGTCTTTTGTCTTTTTATCCCTAAATGCTGCCCATAATTTCTTCATTACAAACTGACCAGCAGTTTCTCTTAAAAATATCAGGCTAGTTTACCTATTACATTATTTTAAACTGGACTTAAAAGAGATCCTTCACCACAGTAGTGAAGCTGGCTGGGATACCACCAGCCCCATGCAGTGGTGTCGCCCCACGGTTCAGCTGTTGAGTTCTGCGGACTCTTCGATCTCATCTGGGTTTGGGGCCATTTTTTTATATTGTCTTTTGAAGAAGCCAAGCTGTAAAGGTGATGACACAAAATTGTTAACTGTCCTGTGAGTAGGATTATTACCTTGATTTGATCATTACCCAACAAACATGTCCATCCACACCACAATGTGCCCAATAAATATGATTAAAAGACTTACTTTACCACCCATGGCTTATTCCACAAGAGCCTTTGACTGCTTGCTGTCCACTGTCTGTAGCACCCCCCAGAGTCCCTGGAGGCTCAGGGGACTGGTGTGTAGTTTGCTGACTAGCTAGTATCTTATCATGCATTTGCTGAAGAAATTTATATCCAGAGAGCTAAGTTTCATTGCATAAAATTAAATATCTGACATTCTACTTATTTGAAACTAAACAAAATGTTCAGGGTACTGGATGAAGTTAAAAAAAGACTAAGTCCTTACTGGTTTTCAAAGACATGAGCAATTACCACAAACTTGCATTTCTGTTCTCTGTGAAGAGGTGCCATATTTAAGGTTGCTTTTTTTTTTTTGAGACAGTGAGACAGGGTCTTCCTGTAGCCCCAGCTGGCCTGGAACTCACTGTGTAGACCAGGCTAGCCTGGAACTCACAGGGATCTGCTTGCCTCTGCCTCCTGAGTGCTGGGATTAAAGGTCTATGCCACCATGCCTGGCAAGTTGCTATTTTATAAGGAAATTCAAAACAGCCATCTTTAGGGTAATGTATTTAAAAAATATTCTTATTTATTTATTTTGTATGTATGAGTGTTATGCCTGCATGCATGTAAGTGCACCCATGTTATGCAATGCCCAAGGAGGATAGAAGAGAGCATCGAATCCCTTGGAACTGGAGTTATGGATGGTTGTTAGCTGCCATGTGGGTGCTGGGATTTGAACCCAGATCTGCAAGAACAGCCAGTGCTCTTAACCGCTGAGCCATCTCTCCAACCCCAGGAGTAATGTATTTTAAACATAAAGTTCTCTTACCTTCCATAAACCTGCAATCATAGATAACAGCAGAAGGAGCCCGGCAATCACACTTCCAACTATCACTCCTACAGGGACTTCGGCTTTCTCATTGGGTTTCATGATCATAAGGGGAATCTGTAAATACATGTTTCCAATCAACTTAGCTGATGTTATTTATCACAGAGAGAGTGAAATGTCCTAATCTGATCCAATAACCTCATGAATACAGGCTCATAGGTTCAGAGAGGAGTCACAACTTGCTCTTGACAGTATTCACTCTTCAAGCACTGTGCAGAAAAGTTTGTAGCTACAGCCTGAAGAACTCAGGCAAGGAGCACACATTTTCTACTCTGTTCCTCAGCTGTATTAGCGTGTCATGGCTATGCCGCTCCCAATGGCATCGGATGCCTTAAGTGTTATGAAGTGGACACTTCATTCTCTGGTGTACATTTTCACCATCAAATGAAAACCAACAGTCCTGGGAAGGGACACCCAAGCACAACCTTGTCCAACTCCCTGCTGCTCAACAACTTTGTATGGAGCTTTAAAATACTGATTTCTTTTCACTGTCATTCAAGATTGATATACAACATTGGGAAGTAGAAAGACTGTCTCAGGGCTCAGGTTGGCATTTTTAGTGGTGAGGTTGTCTTTGAGCACATTGTGACTCTTGGTGCCTGCCTCTGGGTGACCTCCTTGGCAATGGGGTGGAACGGTGGCCCTAAGGCTGTTAACTCTGACACTTTATATGCTTTTGTTTTTAGCCTTCACAAAATATTCTTTTTTAAAGGTTTATTTACTTTTGTTTTATGTGTATGAGAGTATTGCCTGCATGTGTGTAAGTGCACCCATGTCATGTAATAGCCACAAAGGACAGAAGTGGGCGTTGGATTCCCCTGGAACTGGAGCAATGGATGGTTGTTAGCTGCCATGTGAGTGCTGGGATTCAAACCCTGTCTTCTGCAAGAACAGCCAGTGCTCTTAGCCACTGAACCATCTCTCCAGCCCCAGGAGTTGCTTTTTATGAGACTGGATAAGTAGGTAGCCACCCTTAGTGATTGTATTTCTCCTCATTTGCATTTAAAGTTAAAATAAGAGTTTTCATAAGCATTATGAATGAAGTTACTATAAACTCTTGTGGTTCACTGTTTTTCAGCAGAGACATGCCTAGACTGTGTTCCAGAGCTCACTGATCTGGGGCCCTTGGATCTTCCTGGACCCTTCAATTACAGCATTTTGTGCATCTGATTTTGAAGTGGACCTGAAACTCACATAAATGAAATCATCACTTGTCTTCCTATAAAGATATGCCAATGTATTGTTCGGCTTCCAAATATTCTTCAAAAAAATTATCCAAATTCTGGTTTCAAATATGGAATAACTTCACAGACACAAGTAAAGTTGGCCTCTGCTATTGCTCATAGAAAACCAAGAAAAATATCCAATGGATTCATGAAAATGAAAATTCAAATTTTCAGGTAACATATTTAAGGACTGCTTTCAAGAAAAAAAAGACTTTAGCAGGGAGATTTACATACTGCCTGAACACTACGTTTTTCTAAAGTGAGCTTGGAAAACAATCTATGGTGCTTTCTCCCTAGGCTAAGTTCACTGTAGTTCAAATATGAGGCCTGAATTTCTCTGGCTGTGTTTCTGATTTTTCCATGCCCAGCCTCTGCAGCAAGGGTATGGGGTTTCACTGAGGTTCCTAAACCAGAGGCAGAAAAGCAGCTTCTATTGTGTGCAATTATTTTCCCTAGGACAAGAGTGGGACATCAGTGCTGTGAGCTCAACTCAGGCATTGAGAGAGGCCCAGAGTTATGGGGCCCCTGGCTTTTTAACCCAGTCTGTAGGCTGGAACACTGGACAGAGGCCAACTGTTCAGCTGGCTTTGGGGGCAGAGTCATGAACTGGCTTCCAGTTTTTAAACAAAAGCTTGGGGAGGAAAATGCTCAGGGCTCTACCAGCAGATAAGCGGGGCATGGAAATCCAACTATATCTAAAAATGGCACATGCTAACCAGAGTTCAATGCTAAGGAGAGTTTCCCATGCCAGCCCTTGGAACAGACAAGCCTTTGTTTTCTGTGAAAGTACACTTCTCTGAAGAGCCATTTTTTATCAAGGGCTACATTTGTAGTCCTCTAGAATGAAAGGCTATGAATGAACATGTCATAGTATCAGTGTCTGGCTATAAAAAGGACTTTTTAAAAAGTTTAATAAATGCCTTATTTATCAGGCATACTTTGGTAATTATCTTTAAAAATGCTCTAAAATACAATTTGTGATTAAATCATCATGGCTTAGATTTAATGTTCTCAGATGTAGATATTTTCTTATGGCACAGAGGAAGAGGTGCTGCTATTTTAAGCATTTGAAAGGTCACCATAAGAAGACAGAGTCCTCTGTGCCTTTCTTGGGAACATCACTTCTAGGAAAGTCAGCTTTGCCAACATGAAAGGCAGAGGGGAGGGCACATGTGTCACTGGGCTTTCTGAGTCAAAGATACCCTTGCCACATTTTAATATAATAAATGCCAGACTCTCAGTATTTTGGTAGGAAACGTCCACACACACATAAATAGGAAGAATGATGATTCCACATTTTGAGGAACAGAAGACCTATCATAGGGACAAATGTGACACACTCACCGTGACAGTGTTGTCCTCGATCACATATATCTGAGGGTTATAGGTATCAATTTCTGCAGCTGCTGTTAACTGTACTGTCTGGAAAGTCGACTGGAACATAGAATAACAACAGTTTATCCCTCAGCAGAAAATATAGAAGAGCAGGTATAGTTAAGATTTATTTCCTGGTGGAAGGTCACAGGAACAAATGGCTGTCCTGAAGAGTCAACCATCTGCTTGCTTGACCCCGCTGTGTGCACCAGGCTGCTGAATAGCTTTTGAAATGTGCAGATGACTGGGCTGTGCCACTGCAAATTAAAAACAATCTGAGGATGGCATCTAGACAGGAACCAGCGAACACCTCCCTAAGTGATCCAAACTAAGAATGCTGGAAAACAACAGCTTAAGAAGATATGCTTTCATTGTGGTTTGGTTTTGTTTTGTTTATTTGGCAGCACTAGAGATTGAATCTAGGGCCTCATGTATGCAAGGCAAGTATGCTTGACCACTCACCTATATAGCCTTAAGACATGGAATTAAATAGAAAAGTTTGTCACAAAGATTATTTAAAACCCAATGAAGCTCCAGATCCAAGAGAAAATTGCAGAGTACCTTTATATCCTTATCTAACTAGGTTAGATAGTGGATTAGAAAACCAACATTTTAGTTTCCTTCTGGGTACACATATATACAATAATGCTGTCTAAAAGTACACTTGAACTTGACTATACATGTTAGCAGTGAACCTTTATTTTAATGTTTACAAAAACTTTATTGAGAATTTCATACATGCATATAAGCTGTTTGGATCAAATCCATGCCCACTCCCTCCCTTCCAACACCTCCCATACCTCCCCATCACTTTTATCTTTTTCTTTTTTTCTTCTTTATTTATTTTTATGGGGCTTTTGGGTACTCTAACATTTCCCCCCTCTGAAGAGGTAACCCTAAAATCTTTTAAGGATTAGATACAAACTCCCAAATACTTTTGACATTTTTGGTGTTTGGAACAAAGTATGTTGCTAACAGGCCAAGGACATTTTGACTTTTAGCCAAGAAACTGGCTACTCCTTTTGATGTATCACATTAGGAATAATTTCACATTTCATAATGTGTCTCTATCAATACTGACTATAGGGTTGATATGTAGAAAGGACATATATTTTATGCTGATGTATGAGTAACTTAATATGAAATAGGTTTACATGCACTCTTTAGTGTATCTAGAGAAAAAGAATCTGTTGTTCAATGGAAACATGACTAATGTGACTATCTCGCTGTTACTGTTTTCTTTATAACACAAATTGTGGGCCTGATAATTACTGTGTAATAGAATCTAGCACTCAGGAGTTTAGAGCTGTTTTCACGTGCTCTGGCTAATAGTACTCAGTTTTTCTGGTTACTAGGGTACAAGATTCAACATCTTCATGAAATAATTTGCTAAACTATATCCAGGAGCCAGAAAGAGAAAATATATTTCCAAAAAGTGAGCAATTTATTTCCTTTCCACTGGCTCAGTCTCTGGATACTCTTAATTTTCTTAAGATGGAAAAATTGCATCATAAGTTAACCCTGAACTCTGGTCTTTTATGTGTGTATTAAAGGGGATCATTAAGAGTATAGATAATGGTTTAATTTTAAACAAAAATAGCAGTTAAGTGAATACTAGTTTGCAGTCCCTGTAGACTGTGTAAATGAAATAATTGTTCTTATAACTCTGAGCAGGTTGGTCTTACATGTACCCAATAGCCTGAAAGGTTAGCTAGTAGTGAGAGATATCGCACACACATCTAGGGGAGCCAGTAGCCTGCTAGCATTCATCAAGGTTTTCCTTACAAATGGAGGCCAGTGAAATCTGGAAGCCTGAGCAAAATGCTCTGTGATGAGATTACTTGAAATGTTAAATTGCCTTGTATCAGGAAGAGGGCAGTGACAAAGGGCACTGCCATTAGTGAGCCCTAACACGGGAAAGGTGATCCATATCTCCTACTGGAACATTCACTCTGCCGTTGAAATAGCTGAAACTAACATGGGGTAGACATCTGTCCTCTCATGAAGGAGGAAGAGGCCTAGGACTTCATATATAGTAACTCTGAAGGGTGCTATGATGCTTTGAATGAGAAGTGTCCCCCAATAGCCTCAAGTATTTCAACACTTGGTCAGTTGATGGTGCTGTTTGGGAGGGTTGTGGACCCTTTAGGAGGCATGACCTTGCTGGAGGAAGCATGTCACTGTGGGCAGGCTTTGAGAGTTCATAACCTCATCTCACTTCCTGTGCTCTCTCTGCTTTCTGGGAGGGCTTGATGATGTGAGTGCTCAGCTTTCTGCTCTGGCTGCTCCTGCTGTGCTTTCCTTGCCATGATGGACGTTTATTCCTCTGGAACCATAGCTAAATAAACTCTTCCTTCATCAGGGGCCTTGAACATGGCATTTTATTACAGCAACAGAAAAGTAACTAATACAGGTGGCTTTTCACTTTAACTACCATAACCATTGTGAAAAATGATAAATTCTACACTGCTTAAGAATTTGGCTCCCGGAGGGGGGTGGGGACTGCTTCTTTTTAAACTCTCAAGAGGTACTTTTACAAAGCGTCATAGTTAAAATGGTATAGCTTTAAGCAAATTCAAAACCTAAATGCTTCTTAGAGAGCTGGAGCGATTACATTTTGATGTGCAAAAGTCAGTTTTCTTTCCTGCTTGGTAAAGTTTATTATGAAAGTATGTGTTCTTCAAATCTAAGAGGCCAGGAATCGATTGGTAAAACTGAGCACTATGCTGTGGCAGTTAGAAAAGGAAGCAGGTATTTCCAGCAGCGTGTGTGGGATCTCAAGACTTAGAGCTGTCCCAAAGATTTTTAAGCCAATGCAACTAACAATCAAAGGAATACAAGATTTTCAAAAGGAATCCAGACTCCTCAGCACCCCACTTCCCTAGCTCTGCAACTTTTTCCTGTCTTTCACTACAGTATTATGACTTTATTCACTCATATTGCTTATAGTTTGACTCCAGGGACAAGTTGGGAGGAAGATCTATACTCATATAGAATGGAGATTGTTGGAGATCATGAAATGCTGAAAACCTAGGGAGCAGAGTCTGACTTGGGGTTTGATTTTTTGAAAAAAACAATCCAGTGACAGCCATAGTCTCCCAGGGGACTCAGAGCCAGCATTGGGAAAAGGAATGGCAGTCAGACTGAATGAGGTCTGCCTATACTTACGTTTTTCATGCTAGACTGAAATCCTGGCTACCCAGTCCCTGCTGAAATAGACTCAGTCTGCTGTGCGGAGAAACAACACTGACTGCTGTTTGGGCATCAGAGTTTTCATGGAGATTAAAGGTTGTGTGCTCACTGGGCTCATTCATTAGGAAGGATGACCTGGAGAGCAGAGTAGTTGCCTGCTCTCATGGGGGGAGACCAGCCCTCATGCTGGCTTTGTCTTCTGACTGGGTTAAGATCAATTGGACACTGAAAACTCAAGGAAAGAGACAGGGACATGAGCATCTTGCTTCAAGTGTAGTGGAGGAGAATGTGAAGGGAAATGGGACAGGAGAGAGAGACTAAGAAGATGCTGTACATAGCTAGGATAGCAAAGGCAACCTGGATACCATTCACATAGATGTCATGGGCTGCTGTGGAGTTTAAGAAACAGACCTCTTTATGGACTCTGCAGATGATTCGGGGGCAAAGCCAGACTGGGTGAGTACTGGAAAGGGATGCAAACTTAGAACCATCAGGAGTATAATTGCTGTGGTTGTTTGGACACTTCTGACATTAGCTAGAATACTATTTCATTAAAAAGGTAAGAACTTTTTTTTTTTTTTTTTTTTTTTTGACAACAAGGTCTCATGCTTCCTTGTTCTTTCTTGATAAACCCAGTAAACAAAGCCGATACTTACAGCTGCAAAGGTTCCATTCCAAAGTCTGGTAGTGATGTTGATGAAGTACTCTCCTTTCATATGAAGGTCTTTCAGCCAGCAGGTGATGTTACCACAGGAGGCAGTTTGGCAGTTCTTTCATGTTGGAGTCGATAGGAGACACACACACACACATACACAGAGAGAGGGAGGGAGGGAGGGAGGGAGAGAGAGAGAGGAAAATAATAAAATTTTATAAGAGATAAAACTCAGTGCTGGAAGGCCCTTCATAAACAGGCAATATCGTGTTCTTTTAGTATTTATAACTCTTCTTCAAGGGATTTTGGTACCATGTCTCTAAAGTATAACAAGTACATAGCTTCTGCCCCAGCCTTTTCCTGTCTGTATGGACAGCCTCCGATAACAGAAATGCATGGAATGAAGGACACGACCTGTTTGTTGTTATTTGTGAGCACAAACATGAAACACAGTAGTTAACTCATGTTTATCAAGAATGTGCCAGGCAGGTAAATTACTGAGCATAAACTACATGTAGTACAATTTAGTCATTAAACCCAACGATGAAGATGGATTTCTTATATTAAAATATGATGACAGTAAAAGAATCCGTGATTGTCAGAGTTGGAGAAGGGAGGGAGGTATAAAGGGACAAACACAGAACACAAGGTTTTCAGGGCAGTAACCCTGATCTGTGTGACCTTATGATTAATGGACGCAGGCCATTATACACTTCTCAAAATTCATAGTGTACATTTTTCTGAATTCCAACCACAAGTCCTGTTGGAAATCATGGCTTTAGGGTGATGATGTGTTAATGTAGGTAATTAGTACCACTCTGTCGTGGGATTTTGTTGATGAAGTCATGAGTATGTGAGGATAGTAGGTATATGGGAAATTCCACATGATTTTGCTATGAACTGCTTTAAAAAATTAAAATCCTTTAGTAAACAGTCTGTGGTGCCAAGGAAATGGCTCAGTAGATGACAGTATTTGCTCTGTAAGCAGGAAGACCTGGGCTCAAATCCTTAGCACCCGTATGAAAAGCTGGATCTGGCTACATGGGCCCATAACCACAGAGTTGGGGGCCAGAGACAAGTGGATCTCAAGAGCTCTCCTGCCAGCCAGCCAGCTAAAATAATGAGCTTCCAATTCAGTTGGGAGATTCCATCTTGAGACAATATGGCAGAGAGTGATAGAAGGGGACACACAGATATCCTGCTCTGGCAAGTGCATGGGCGCATATACTTGCACTCACGTGTGCATCATACACCGTACAGATACATAAAGGCACACCATACCACACTATATGCACCATACTACACCATACATACACCAAACACACACACACACACACACACACACACACACACACACCTCACACACATGCACACATACACACATACACATACATACCACACCACACATACCTCACATATACACAAGACAAAAGCCAGAAAACAGTCTATGACATATTGGCTTTTGTAGAGGCCAAAGGATGGCAACATTGTCAGTTTATGTAACAGCATGTGTAATGTAAGTGCATATTACCGCACATGGTAAGAACCACTTTTGGTGGTGGTTCTTTGTCTTATCTTTCACAAAATAAGACAATTGCAATGAAAGAAAACCAGACGGTATTCCTGTATTACTGACAGGAAAAAGCTGTGGCTTGTTTGGGGTCCATTGTTTACTTAATGTTTACTTATCTGAGTACTTAATCTGCAAGCACCAGGTAAGCTGTTAGACTGTCTAACCTCTTTCCCAGAGCAGAGGGCACAGCTGGGGAACAGGAGACAGCAAGATAGGCAAAACCAGAAGACAGTAGCATACTTAGCCAAACAGAAGACAGGGTGGTTATGTGGAAGGGTTTCACTTCACCTCTGTTTTTTTAGACTAGAAATTATTATTTTTATATTATGTGTATGAGTGTATTGCCTACATATATGGAAGTGTGCCCATGTCACGCAGCACCCACAGAGGTCAGAGGAGGGCGTCGGATCCCCTGGAACTGAAGTTACAGATGATTTTTAGCTGCCACGTGGGTGCTGGGAATTGAACCGAGAGCCTCTGCAAGAGCAGTCAGTCCTCTTATTTGCTGAGCCATCTCTCCAGCCCAAGAGTTTCAACTCTTAAAGCATGTACCAGCTACCTCATGGCTCTTTGCAATGTTGCCCAAGTATACCATGCAGAAGCAGCCCAATTTCACATGGTTCTTTTTAAAAATTAATTTATGGAGCATTTGGTTCCACAAAGCATTTTAAAAAATATTTCATTTATCTTATTTTTTTATGTGTGTATTGCCTGCATGTAGGTAGGTGTACCTGTGCTGTGCAATGCCCGCATAGGTCAGAAGAGGATGTTGGATCCCCTGGAACTGGAGTTATGGACAGTTCTTAGCTGCCATGTGGGTGCTGGGAATTGAACTTGGATCCTCTGTGAGAGCAGCCAGTGCTTTTAACTGCTGATCCAGCTCTCCAGCCCCCCTTTAGCATTTTCAAACATGCCTTGTTTTATGTTGATTCTCCTTCCTCATTGTCTCCCTCCCTTTGACCACTCTGTACCCTTCCATCCCCAGTAGTCTCCTGTCCACCTTCATGTCACATCACACATGTCTTTTTGATGTCATGAACTTGATGCCTGAACTTGAATATGTGTTCACTATATCCTTGTTCACACCAGTCATTAAAAGCAAGAGGAGACAGTTATACAGTATCATCTGATTGAATAAAACAAGTGCCCTGATTGCAGATTCAGCAAATGCTAATCACTAAAGGAAACCACACGTGTTAACCTCTCCTCACCAATTCTTTCACGTGCCAGAGATTTTCACTCTTGAATGATACAGAAGACGGCATCTGTCCTATGTTCAGTGGATTCAATTCTGCTGCACAACTGATATCTCCAGCCTACAAAGAAGAGCGCCATATCAGATTTGGAAAACAGGGTGGTTTGTGAGGTTCCTTTCACATGCCAAGAAATCCTGCAGTACCCTGGGCCTCTTTTCACCAGTGCTCACTTGCCCAGTGTTTTGTTCTCACTCGGGTAAAGCCTGATGTACTCATCTGCTGATAGGACATGATGAGGCAGACCAGTTTCTTGTCTGGTTGTGAGCTTGAACCTTTAAGGGCTGTGCCAGCTCTCCAGCCCAAGCCAGCTTCTTATATACATGATTTCCATGTGGTTTGTCCCCCAAAGTTCACACATTACAAGTGTGGTGTCAGGTGGCAGTGTGGAGAAGAAATGGGATCTTTAAGAGTTGGGGCTCAGTAGAATGTCTACAGACTAAGTAGAGGTATGTATTCAGAAGGAATTTGCAGAGTTCCAGTCCCACTCTAGTTTCCTGCATGGCACTATCCTTTGCCTTCCCCTTCCCTTTCTCTCTTGTACCATGAAACCCTCGCCAGAACTGAAATGATGCTGGCATCATATCCTTGAATCTTCAGAACCATGAGTTAAATAAACCTTTTTTTCCTCCTATAAAGGTTACCTAGCCTCAGGCATTTTATTGTAGCAGTGCAAAGCGGACTAATACATAGCCAGTATGTGATGAGCTCAATTTATAGAAGAAGAAGAAGAAAAAAGAAGAAAACAAAACAAAAACATTGAGTGATTCAATTCAACTTTCTTGCCTCTGGCGTGTTTGGATTGTCTGATATACTGATATATTAATCTCAGGATTAATATTGCCATAAGGGCGGCAAAAAGCTCAACCAACACAGCATTGTTAAGACACCTGGACAGCACTGCTTTTGGCTCAAGCTGCATGGTAGAACAACCCGGGTTGCTTTGAAACAAAAATACCAGTGTTAGGACCTTATCTTCAGACTCTGATTTAGTTGCTTAGATGCCACTCTTTAAAAATTGATTGGGGTCATAAAAATGAGTAACTAGGGCTAGGTATTACTGGGTGAAAGTCCAAGCCAACTTCTTGAAGATCAGCTACTAATTACAGCTGTGTAGACCTACTATGTTTCCACAGTACACTGGACCTCTCCTCGGTTTTCTCTCTTAGCAGGGCTCTGACTAAGTCAAGTCCCACTTGGTCATAACTTTGAAATAATTTCAGGCATCTGTAAATATCTAAACCAGGACATTTATTTTCTTGCAACAGTATTCTGCTTCTAACATGAAGTTACTGCTGGTTTATTGGCACCTGGGATGTATATATGTTATCCTTTGTTTTCCAATTATAAAGTATCAGGCACCATCACCCTTAACTCCTGGATTATTTCTATCTTGAAAGCACATGTCTGTATAGACAGTTCTGTCACCCTTACCTGATCTGTTTGTATCTCAGACAGATACATGAGTGGGTTCTTTTCTTTGGTGTATTGAGGAATGTGGATGGTGACAGACGCCATGCTTACTTGCATACTTCCTGTTGTTACCTATGTAGGGAAGAAAACATTCTAGAATCACATGGGATGCATATAATGTAATGAAAATGATCACAGATCCCAGCAAGAATGAGGGGGAAATGAGGGACCATCAGGAGCAACAAGTGGTATGGTTTGGGCAAGGATCCAAAACTCACTAACTTCAGTTTTTTTCATTTGTAAAATAAAGATCATCAAAGATCAGTGGCCATGAGCTGTACACCTTCCATTCTCACTAGTGAGAATTAAGAGTGGTAACCTGTGTGTGTAAAACACTTGATTCAATGGCTGATACTCTTCAAGAATGTTATTTTTCTGTTAGTATGAATTGATTAAACATTCCATAAAAGAATGTGGCTACAAAATACCATCCACATTTTCTAAATTTCAATATCTGGATAATAAATCAAAATTCTTTTGTCATTTTTAAAATAACAAAACTGCAGAGTCCCAGCTATTTAGTGGACTAGTAAAAATGCACAGAAATAGAATGTATTGACTCCAGGGGGGTAGATGAATTCTTTCTTACTTCCCAAAGTTTCTATGATGTTATTTTCTAAAATAGTTATTATTGTTATTCTCATTATCTGGTCTTTTTGAGACAGTGTCTCCCTGTAGCCACAGTTGGCCTAGATTCGCTATGGAGACCAGGCTGGCCTTGAACTCACAGAGATCCACCTGCCTCTGCTTCTTGAGTGCTGGGATTAAAGACAGGTGCCACTATGCCCGGCTTAAAATGGTTGTTCTTCATAATTTATTCTCTCTCTCTGCACCCAGGCTGTCCTTAAACTCACAGTAATTCTGCCTTAGCCTTCTAAGTGCTTGGATTACAGGTATCTGGCTTTTAATTCTCTGTATAACTTATCCCAATTTTTAGATTAATAATTGCTTACTCATAGATACTTATGGTTATATTGTAATATTGTACTATATTGACTCAAAATATTTTAGATACACATGACTTTTCAAAACCCATATTTGTACCATGTACAGTCGCTGAGTTTCTTAAACAAGAATGGACTCCATGCATACAGTGGTATGGTGATTCTATTCCAAGACACCAGCCACAGTAATACTATTATAGTATTGTCTTGTCGATTTTGATTAATCACGAATATTTGCCTTAAAAATATGTCATTTTTCTCTCATCCAGGACACATATCTAAACATAAAGCCCAACTACTTACCTGTTATCCACTTTAGCACTTCTCAAAGTACAGCACCAGAACCAGCAGCAGCACAGCATTCCTGGGGACTTGCTAGAGATTCACACTTCCAGACCTCACCCCCGACTCCCCAAAAAAACCTTCGGGGATGAGGCCTAGCAGTGTCTGTCTGAATAAGCCCTTGGGATGACATGACTGTACACCCAAGTTTGAGAACCACTGGTGTATTTAAACTTCATTTTATTTTCTCATCCCAGACCACTTTATTTTCTCTCTCTCTTCTGGTTTGTCATCCATACAACAAGCTTACTAACCTTAAGGGAGAAGATGAATTTTGGACCTATATCTTCAAGACTGTGCACAAAAGAAGGAGCAGTCTCATCCGAAGAGACTTCATAAAAGTTGATGTTGGTGGACCTGTTGGATGACATTAGTAAAACCAATTATTTTGGTTTCGGTTTTGCTTTTGAAGCTTCATATTTTTTTTCAAGTCTCTTCTAGCTTAGATTCCAAGCAGACCAGTTTAATTTTAGTTACAAAACCACCAAATGATTATTCTAACTTTTTAAGCTTCCGCTTGTGTGAGAGAGTATGCAGTATTTGTCTTTCTGTTTGCCTGGAGTCTGGATGGATTGAGATAGAAATGCTAACTACCCTGATTATATTAGTATGCATTGTATGCTTGCATTGCATTATCATCTTGAACCTCACAAATACATAGAATTATTATGATAATAAAGATATTTAAAAATACTAAATATGCATGAATGCTTGTAAGTTTCACAGTCCAATGTACATTCCTGAGATTAAATCAATTTCCTTTCAAGCCACACCACATCACTGTCTTTCTGTGGAAAGTCTAGGTGTCATGTGTTTAATCAGCTGTCAAGTTCTTAAAATAGGTACAAAAGGAATAGTCTCACTGTTCTCCACATTGCTCCTACCCTGGCTGGTATGTTAATAAGGTGGACACTCAGGCCTTGCTGGTTGAATGACTGGATTTGTATGCCAGGGTTTTTCACTTGCTATGTCTGGAATAGAGCGATAGGGTGCCAGCCATTAACTTCTGCAACATTCATTACCAGATTCCTTCCAAACAGGACATCAATTTATTGTATTAATCTCTGTCTTGTTTCAAACCAACTCCAATGGTTTGGGGCTGAATTGAGGGTTGATTAAATCTGTTTCCACTGTTACAGAACCACTCTTAAGATCCAAAGATTTTCTTATGACCTCTTGGCTTAGGATCACCAACTAACGTCTGCAAGCACAATGATGCCCAGCGCAGAGGATTCCCCATAGGACATTTGCACATGGGAGAAGCTGGGTAGCTTCCATTTTCTCACTTATTTCCAGTTCTCTGAGGCTAGAGTCCAACCAGGGCAGTTTCTTTGGGTTGTGTGGAATGTAGAGGAGCCGAGGTCAAGAGTAGGGGTCTGAAGAACATTATGCACGTCCCTCCATGTATTTCCAAGGGACAACAAATCTTCATATATTTTATTTATTATTTTTATTTTTCGTGTATACAACTGTATTGCCTGCATGTGTGTAAGTGTTCCTGTGTTGTGCATTTCCCACAGAAGATGTCAGAGGAGAACATCGGATTCCCCTGGAACTGGAGTTATGGACAGTTGTTAGCTGCCATGTGGGTGCTGGGAATCGAACCCAGGTCCTCTGAAAGAGCAGTCAGTGCTCTTATCCACTGAGCCATCTCTCCAGCCAAAACAAATTTTAATTATAGAATGTTCAATCCACTTCCTTAAAAAAATGGATTGGACATTTTCTGAGATGGAATTTTGTTTGCTTGCTGAGACATCCCTCCTTTCCCCCTACTTCTTTCTCTCCCCCTCTTCTCTCTCTACTTCCTCTCCCTCTTTCCCTCTCTCTTTGTAAAAATGTTCTTCCAAATTTTCTAAAGGATAATTTGTCATAGGGAGAAGTGAATACATGTGGTATTTGTCAGTGTCATATATATGAGAATAATGATTTGTCAGCCTTATGGAAAAATGAGACAACTGACTAGGATTGGAAATGGAAAACCCAGTTATGTGCATGAATTATTCTCTTTGCCTTCCAGATGTTTATGTAAACCCTAAACAGAGCCAACTTCTAAGTTGATCAACATGCTCTGCTTTTTGCATTTTAAAGAGATCTGACACTTTTCCATTTTTTACATGTTTTTCCTAAATTACTTATGGGTTATAGTAGCAGTGAGTTGAATTCAGGAGGATCCTGTTGAATAATTCTATTAATATTTATTTTCATTTATTATATTTGTATAATATAGCTGACACTTAACTAGTATTGCGGTAATTAGTAAGAGACATGGTAACTGACTTTTTCTTAGAGTTTGCAAACTGTCCAAAATAATTTTTGCAGTGTGATTTTGATGGCTAAACAAACAATAACAAAGTGAAATTACCAAACATTAATATTGGAGTAGTTACATGAATTATGATTCATCCAGGGATAGGATGTATTATATATGCACAGCCTGATATGAAAACCACTACAAGGCAGAGAAGAATGTTTTACCATTCCTTTGGGGTAAGTAAAATATTTGTGCACATGTGTGTTATGTATATACATGTAGCGCATGGACATATTTTTATAGATAAACTGTGTGTATGGTAGATAGTCTACAATAGCTCTGTTAGCCATTTGTGGGGACTGTTACCAGGGAGGTGGAGAACACTAACCTCACTTTTTGTTTTGTATTTTTCTGTAATGTTTGGATTTTTTATCAGTAAACATGTAATGCTTTTCTTTTTTCTTTTTGTACTTTTTGACTTTATTTTATGTATATAAATTCTGCCTGCATCTATGTAAGTGCACCATGTGGGTGCAAACTCACAGAGGCCAGAAGAGGGCATTGAATCCCTTGGAACTGGAGTTACAGAGGTTGTTTTTAACCATGTGGATGTTGGGAACTGAACCTGAGTCCTCTGCAAGAGCTGCCATGTTCTTAACTGGAGAGGGACTGGAGAGGGACTGGAGAGATGGCTCAGCAGTTAAGAGCATGTGCTACTTTTTACAGACCTGGGTTTGGTTCCCAGCACCTACATGGTGACTCACAACCACCTGTAACTCCAGCTCCAGAGTATCTGATATCCTCTTCTGGATTCCATAGGCACCAGGTCTGAATGTCACACACACACACACATACACACACACACACACACACACACACACACACACACACAAAACACATATAAAGTAAAAATAAATACTTTAAAAAACCCCTAGCTAGCTGGGTGTGGTGGTACATGCCTTTAATCCCAGCACTTGGGAGGCAGAGGCAGGTGGATCTCTGTGAATTCAAGGCCAGCCTAGTCTACATAGTGAATTCCAGGCCAGCTGGGGCTATAGTGAGACCATGTCTCAAAAAGACTGGAAAAAAAAAGTCATAGCTAAGGGCTGGAGAGATTGCTCAGTGGTTAAGAGAAGTGGCTGTTCTTACAGAAGACCTGGGTTCGAATCCTGGCACCCACATTGTGGCTAACAACCATTTGTAACTCCAGTTCCAGGAATCCAACACACTCTTCTGTCCCCTGTAGGTACTGCATGGTGTGGGTGCACTTACATACATTCAGGTATAACACTCATACACACAAAATAAAAATAAATTTAAAAAATTTAAAATACATAGCTAAGATGTCAATTAGCAAAAGAGAAGTACAGTCTTACACTGTTCCATGTTAACATATCTAAAAAATTGTCCATGGTAGAAGAGTAAGCTAACATAGACTTATCAACAAAAGTGTTTAGGAGAATACAGAATCACTTAAGTAAGAAGGAAAGACCTCAGGTAATGAGGTAATGCTAATCTATGTAGCTTTATATGTCTTCAGTTACTTGTTTTAGCACTGGGAGTCCTTTGAAGACTAGTTACTGATTAATTTCTCTGGGTGGATGGCTTGTGCTGTGTTTTGTTTTTTCTTGTGCCTTTATGACTCACTTGATACAGAAGCATTCTTTTATCTTTGCTCATGTGTCTCAAGCTCCAAACTGCAGGACATGTGCTCCTTTTCATTTTATGATCTGTGATTTATCAAATGTGCTCCCTTCTCTATGCTTTTAGGGGCTAGGGGAAGTGAGGCAGGAAGTAGAGAATCTGACTACCTCTAGACTTACTAGGAAAACAATGTTGCATGTTGGTCTCTATAGAGAAGTGGTCTCGGTCTTCATGAAGGTGGGAGCTCTGGTCACCAGGCTTGGGCCTCTATGTACCTGCATGGCTATTCTCCAGTGTGTCATGAAGGAGCCTCACTTGTGAAGAGTGAACTAAGGTAGTATCAGTCTATTAGCACTTAGGATTAAGATTTGTGTGTTATCTGTGTCCTTAGACACCTGTCCTTTGGAACAGTTCAAGTTAACTGCTAGTAACATTTTAACCACTGTTTTCAGGTTTGCTTGCTTTGGAAGGCAGAAAAAGGAAGAAAGCCTTTCTTCATGGATGACTTCCTTTGGAAAATCCCCCATTTCCTCCTCATTGGAAGAAGACTGTAATCAGTCATGTCTGGGATTTTCCATTACGAAGCTAGACATGGACTAGTTTTCATATCAGATTATGAAGTCTGTGACTCCATTTAATATTGCCTGTGTCCTTCCTATGTCCCAGGCATGGTGCTGCATATCATAAATGCTGGCTCCCATGTCCAGGAGCAGGGATATTGCTTGACATCTCATGTGTACAGTAGGATGGAGAGAGTGAGAATGCAGTGCTGGCAGCTCTCAAGTTCCCCAAGAGATTGTTTCGACATCTTAGAATGGTTGGCAGGCACGCTCACTACCATTAAGGGAATTTACCCACAGCATGTGACAAAAGCATTTTCCCTTTGCCTTTCTGGTGCTGCTCTGAGTCAATAAACCTAAAGAGTCAAAGTGTTCCCAGGCACCAGTTGGCAAGTAGGAAATAAATTCATCAGTTAAAACAGAGTAGATAAAGAACTTCTTTATCCATAAGCTGAATGATTTATATACCACAGTACTGTCAATGGTAGCAAGCTACCCACCTCTATAGCAGGCTTTGCCTACCTGGTTAGGTGAATTTCCGCATCATACAGGAGAGGAATTGTGAGGCTGACTAAATTATCTGCTTTGTTTGCTTCTTGGCTCTCACTGTTAAAACAAGTATTAGAAAATACTATTAAAGAGAAATATCATAAATGCTGTCAATCTTCAACTCCCTATTTCATTATGTCTTACCTGAGGGCTTGGAAACTGACAGATGCCTGATTCTGAAGGTTTTGAAGATTGAAGTCAAAGTTAATAGTAAAAGTCACCTATACGTAACATAAAAATTCATCAGTCTACAATGCTTTATAGCCAGAGAAAGTGTTCCCAGCAAAGTAAACTCATTTCCATTTAGTTCTAAATTTTATGTCTTAAAATTTTAAATTTGTGGGCTGGAGAGATGGCTCAGCCATTAAGAGCACTGACTGCTCTTGCAGAAGACCCAGGTTTGATTCCCATCATTCACATGGCAGCTAACAACCATCTGTAACTCCAGTTCCAGGGGATCTGATTCTCTCTTCAGACCTCTGCTGGTATTGCCTGACATGGATGCACTTATATACATGCAGGCAATATACTCATACACATAAAATAAATATACTAAATAAAATATTTTTTAAAAATTTAATTTGTAGCTATCTGTCTAGCTTATTTTAGCTTGCTTTCCAGATAATCAGGAGGGTTTAACTTTTAACTGATGCATATTATCCAGCCACATCTATCTGTCAGAATCACAAAGCTTTATGTTGATCTGAAACTTGTTTACAGCACATTAACCAATGTTGGTCAACATAATTGAACAAAAGAACTTTCCATATTATATATGTACTTGGAAAAAGGGGCATGGAAGAAATTCTACTTTAATTATTTTAAAGAAAATAAATTCTGTGAAAAAACTTTTTCTATGTATGCAGCTGGTTATCTTATGATGCCCATCACATGCTAATATCTAGCAAAGACAATGTTATATTGGCAATTTAACACACGTGCTCAGGTGTGGCTAGCGTGGGATTTGGAGATACAAATGTACCTGCTGTTCACTCTTTAAGGCGGGGTATCCCACATCACAGGTAACAGACTTCTGAGATGAACCAAGCTCGCATGTTACTTCTGTTCCATCAACCTGAACAAGACCAAAGAAATAGCAGCAATTAATTTATAGTATCTGTGTGTGGATTTGTGTATGTGTGTGTGTGTGTGCATGTGTGTATACCCACACTGAAAGATGTACAAGGACTTTTTGAAGTGATATTGGTTTATATTGAAATAGTTTATTGTTCCCAAAGACATGAAAATGTTGTGTTGCCCAAGTGGTAACCATGCTATTTTTAGTGCCAGCTTTAAAGATATACCCGAGAGGCCAAAAGATAGATGAAAATTGAATTTGTCCCCAGAAGGAAATCATAATTTTTATACTGTAGAAGCACAAAAAAAACTTTAATAAAATATTCAGAAATCTTGTACTTAATACCTTTTTTCTTAATGTTTTTGAAATGCATGTTTTCAAGAGAAGAAAAAATATACATGTTGGTGCTTATATTTTAAAGAACTTACAGAATTTTTTGTCAGCTTTGCTCAGTTCATTTTCTCTTTAATGTAAGAGTTGCTATCTGAACCAGGTATGGTGGTACACACCTTTAATCCCAGCACTTGGGAGGCAGAGGCAGACAGATGTCTGTAAGATCTAGGCCAGCCTGGTCTACATAGTGAGTTCCAGGCCAGCTGGGGCTACAGAGACACCCTGTCTCAAAAACAACAACAAAGAAACAAAGAAAGAGTTGCTATCTGGCATAAGCCATTTCAACCCTGAGGTCAGCACAGGCTTTGAACTCTAAATCTATCACGTTCACATTAACTTTAAATGGGAAGAAGCCCTTTTTAATCCTTTAATCATCTTGATCACTTGGAAAATAGCTTTTGCTTCTTTCCTTTTTTCCTCTTCATGACTAGAGGGCAGAGGAATTAACAAGGGGCTCTCACAGCCAAGTGCATTACTGGTTTAGTGATCAGGTCAACTTAATAGCCTGGCTTTGCTGGAATGCATCGCCCTAGCAGCAGCAGCGGGATCTGCAAAGCTCAGGCTAAGCTGTGGGGCTGGAACAACTCAGAGCAAATGCACCACATCTGTCTAGTAGCCTCATCACACAGATGGCTGGAGAAGAGTTACAGGAGTGTCTGGCTGCTCTCGCCAAGTCCTGAGGTAAAGGAAAAAGTGACCCTCGCTGTGAAGCAGAGTTGCCCTAGATGCAGAGCCATACTATGTTCTCATGTGGCTTAACTAACTGGAAGCTGCAAGGTAGGACTGAGCATGCCCAGGCCAAGGAGGGTCTTCAGAACACTCTGAAGACATGGCAGTGTGAGGATGGGGAGACAGCAATGGACAGGGAGTAAGCTACACGGCATTGCTCTGCAGGGTTTTTCACGCACCGGCATGGAGAATGAAGCAAAAAACAAGTTCTCTGAAAAACTGGCCACCACTGCAGTGTTGTAGGCACCTTCCCCTCTGTTTTTTAGTGCAATTGAAAAGGTTAACCTTTTGTTTTGGTTGCTGACAATAAATGGTTGATTTCTGTTAAGACAAGAAAGAAGAGAAAGAGAAAGTCATTAGAGAAAAAAAAGTTATTCAAAAACTTCACTCATTTAAGACATTCTTCTTATTCATTTGAAAATGCTTAACTGTGAAAACTACCTTCATGTTAAAATAATACAAGTAAGTAAATGTTAACTGAATTTTCTTTCTTTCTTTCTTTCTTTCTTTCTTTCTTTCTTTCTTCTTTCTTTCTTTTCTTTCCTTTCATTACATTTCAGGGAAAGAGCTATCCAAATACCAGAACTTTTGTATTTCTTATTGCTTTATGCTTATGGGAATGATAGAAAATGGAATCTAGCTTTAAAATGTCTTTACTATTTTGAATACTCCTGTGGAAAAGAAATCTAAAATTTTATTTTGAATGAATTCCCCCCCCCCCCCCATTTTACATGGAAATTTAAAGTGGAACATACTGAGCAGCTGGTAACTGTTGGACGTCCAGGATCAGATCAGAGATGCAAAGCCCATCGCTGCCACATTCTTTATAGAAAGGGATCTACAACAGAAAAAGCATCATGCTCTTGGGTGAACAACAAAATGTAAAATAATACATACATTTCATTCCATTTACATAAAACTTGAGATCATGGAAAAGCAAAGTTTTAAGAGTGTGTGCACATGTTTAGCATAACCATAAAGAAACAGTTGATAAATACAAAGTATAAGATAACACTTGGCTTATCAGGAGCTAGAGTAAAGTAGACCTAATAGGGGGATACAAAGAACTTCATAGGCAACCTATATGAATTTTTAAGTGGGTGTTAAGCCCAATCCTTTTGGCCTATTTTTTATTCATTTCTCCAAGCAGCATTTGTGGAAGAGCTGTGGTGGCTCTTGGAGCTAATAGTAGAGGAGTGAAGAGGGAGAAAGGCAAAAGTCCCTACATTCATGACCTGGTGTGCCAGGGACCTGTGTACATCATTCCACATAGGCTGCACCCTTAGCATCTCTTGACTACGGAAGCCTGATAGCCAGTCTCCATGTGGGGGGGACAAGCCGTACTCACGCTAAAGACTTTGACAGTGTCAGAGTAGACCTCAAGGGCAGGGCTAGTGCCAGGGTGTTCCAGACTGATGTCCACACGCAGATCCAAAGGATTGACAACATCAGAGGGCTTCTAAAAACAGAGGGGAGGTGAGAGAGTACTAGGTCATAGAAGCTTGAAAAGGAACCTACAAATGTATATATAATTAAGAACGCCACCCACGAACATCATCCATGCTGAGTCATGAAGAATATCCTTATTTTAATGATCAAGGTTTCTGCACTTTTGTGTCAGTTCTGCTGTTGGCCTCTATACTCAGAAGCCTAAAGAGATTTGATTATCATAAGAGCCTGAAGCAGCAATTCTTAGTAGGGATCATAAATAATCTCTTATTTACATATAAATATTTATAATACTTAGATGATAAGTCCAATTTTTATCTTCAACAGCTTCCTATGTCCTTGCCCATTTCTTGGGTTGTTTGCTATGCCCTTAAATTCTTAGTACCAAGAATTAAGGGTCCTTGGGTGTTCTGACCAAAACTGTGAAAGGGGTTACTATGAGTCAGAAGGAAAAGTGCTCAGCCTTGACTTGTCAAGACAGAGACAAGAAGATTCTCTTCCTCCCTCAAGGCCTTGGCTGTACTCTCTAAAATCAGAAAGTAGCAATTCCTACATACCAGACAAGTTTCCAACCACTGGCCCAGTTGAGTTCCTATCAGAACAATGTCTGTATAAATGAAAAACTTCTAGAAATTGGATCTGCCTTCCCCCAGAGTCCATTCACAAGCAAGACTTCAAGACTTGCACCCTCTGGAGAGCCTGAGTATGAGGAAACGCTTCCAGAGCAGACTGAGAACTGGGAACGCTGGGTGTAACTGGTACAGATAGTGAGCAGTAAATAAAGTTTTTCTTCTTTGAGAAAAAACAATCCGCTATCTTCATTTCATTGATACATGTGTAATATCTAACCTCTTCTCTTTAAGCAAAAGAAATTTTCAAATTAAACGAGTAAAACAACTCAACTGATTTTAATGCATCTAAAAATTAAGTAGATATTTTTCCAATGTTATGCTTATCATATTTGTGTGTGTGATATACATGTGTGTTCATGTGTGTATGTGTGGAGGCCAGAGGTATACACTGGGTGGCTTCCTCTATCACTTTCCATGTTATATTTTAAGATAGATGTCTTACTGAACCTGGAGCTCGCTAAGTGGTAGACTGGATGGCCAGCAATTCCCTGTCACCACCTCCCAGAACTGGGATTACAGGCAACACACTGCCACTCCTGGTGGCCTTTAAAAAAGATATGAGCATGGGGATCTGAACTCAGGCCCTAACGCAGCAAGCATTTCACCTACTGAGCATCTCCTCACCCCCACTTAGCATATTTTGAAGTGTGATCTCTGTGCCATCCATCTACAGCAGAATAGGGGTGCCTCTTAAACCCTCACGTCACTCAACCCTTTAAGTACACATTCTAATAGCAGGACCCAAAATATGGGTTTCAAAAAGTTTCTTTGGAAATTCTTATGTATTTGAATGTCTGAGAACTATATTTAGGAAAGCATTTAGGCAGTACTTTTTAATTAAAGTGATATCCCAAGTAGATGACACTTTCAAATATTACTATGTGGTTGCTAAGGGGACATATTTCATATAACCTACAAAATAAATTTCCTGTTGGAATCTTTTTCCTAAGAAGCATTTTTCCTACATGTAAGACTTTCAGGATCTATGAGAACTATAACAATCATGGCATAAGTGTAGAGCAAGTAATCTTTACTATATAATCTATTTTCATTCACCTTTTAAAAACCAGTAGCAGAAAGCACATTTGGGGTTTTCATTTTCAGTAGCTTAAAATGATTATAATTTTTACCTGATAGGAAAAAATGTTAAAATAAATTGTCAGTGGAAAGTTCACCCTGTTGAGTGTTTTTTAAAAAAACTGTGTCATTCATTTAAAAAATTATTTAGTGTGTGTGTGTGTGTGTGTGTGTGTGTGTGTGTGTGTGGTATATATGCACATGGGGGGGCAAAGGAGGACATCAAGAGCTCTGTTCTATTACTCTTTGTATTATTCCCTGGAGACAGCTTAGTCCTGGAACTAGGCTGGCAGTCAACCAGCAAGCCCCAGCAATCCTCCAGTTTCTGGCCCCCATAGTAGTGTGGTTATGGGACACGCATAGCAACACTGGGCTATTTTACATGGATGCTGGAATTTGAACTCAAGTCCTAATGCTTCTGCAGCAAATGCTCTAACACATAGCTTACATCTTAGGCTGTTTGTATTTCTTAGTCTTTTAGAAGAAATGGGGCGAAAAGAGGTCTCACCTGTATGCTAATATGGAACTCAGAACATTTCTGCGCTTGATGTAGAACCATATTCTTTTGCAGGAATCTTTCATTAACTCCTTTAAATAATCCCCTAGAGGTTACTCTGGATGAATATCTGTCCGCATCAAGTGTCATGTTAAACATGATGGCTGTGATTTAAAAAAAAAAAAAAAACACAAAGGAAAGTTATAACAAGGGAACTGTGAAGGAGCAAGCACCCTTGCTTTATTGTTTCTTCTATAAAGAAACTGTCTTTACATTGGTGCTTTAGGCACAGGGTAGGACCACATGGCTTCTGTAATTTCATGTGATAGAGTGCAAGTGACCATGAATACAAAGAAATGTGACTCAGAGAAATGTGGCTTTCATCAGTGGAAAGAAGCCTGTACTTGCCCTCAGGAAAGCTAATGGGCAAACATAGGGCAGCTGCCCCTTCCCTGAGTATTGACTCCATCCTCCATAACATAGAGATGCATCCAGTCACAGAATGCCTACAGTTGAACATGTCTTCATATGCTGCAGAGTTTATGATGAGTCTGGGTAGTTGAGATTGTGATCCCGTTTTTGAGATAATGAACTAGACTAAATGAGGTAGAAGAATTTACTGAGTTAATCCGTCTACAACCAGAGTAGAAATAAAATTTGAGTGGTTTTGAAAAGGAAGTTCATGTTCTTTCTGTTCCTATACCATTGTAAGATCTGAGTGTCATCATGAAAATTAACTCTGATCTCTAAACAAACACACATAGTACCTGGCACATTGTAGATGTTTATGTAGAAAGACACAAAACACTGCAGCAATAAGCTTGAGTTAGAAATTTCGGTTTGAAAGGTAATTCCAGTTTATGAATTGCACGATTCTGCTCAGTTTACTTAACCTTTTTGAATCCATGTTTCTTCAGCAACCAGAGATAAATATCAACTTGGAGAAGTAAAAATGAAAAACCGTGTGATGAATATTGATGAAAATAACTAAAGTCTAAATGATCAGACCTGCTGCCTTTAAGAAAGCCCACTGGCCACATGCCCAACAGTTAGAATATTTGCTGCTACTTATGATACCAACTGCCTTATTTGGAATTACTTTATCAGATTTTGTTCAATATTCTAGAGTTGAATATGTTCTCCAAGACACTAACTCTTTATGTTACCTTTTCAGTATCAGAAAAATTGTACATACTTTTGAGCTTCAGTGACTTAATGAGGCCAATAAAGATGGCTAAGTCATAAAAGAATCAAATGGACACACTAAAAGTACGTGGCAAAGATGATGTAAAGGGAAAATAATGGCAAGGAGGTGATTGGAAAAAGGACATTATTATACACTTCTTTTTAAAAAAAGCTTGATGAGATACATAGTTTCATAAACAATACCTTATTTATTAGATTTATTAGCTTTTTATGTTAACCTTAAACTGGAGTATGCATCTGATTAAATAAATAATAGAAACCCTATGCCTTCAGAATTCTCTTTTCACAGTTGTTGAGATGTGATTCATGCATATGGGCATGGCCAAACAATGAAGTGACAAGTTAACATGATCAGCTTATCAATGTGGACCCGAACACAGCAGGGTAAGAGATCCAAAGTGAAAGGCGCCTAATGGCAAGGAAGGCCTGTGACCTTTATCAGCCAATCAGGGGGAAGGAAATTCTCTGGAAGTGCAAGCTTTGTGGTGTGTGCCAACAGAATAGATGAAGGACATTCAAAATATGGAAGATACACAAGGCACATTCATGCTTTCGGGCCAAGACTGGACAGCCAGCCGTCTCTGCCATAGAATACATTTTCCAGTTTAATTTTAGGCAGACTAGCAACTTAACTACAGCTGCTACTCAGATGGATGTTTGCTCGGTGGCAGGTCTGTGAGGTATGCCATTCAAAGCTGGGTCGGTGTTTGAACACCCGAAAAGAAAGCTTCTGGGTAGATATGAAAGTAGGAAAATATGGAAGTCGTGCTAGATGTGAATCTAACTTCAGCTTTGTGTCCTTGCCTTATGTATTTATTGGTATGAATCATGGCAAACAAATGATCTGAATAGTTTCAGCCTTTAAGTTACTCTGTTTGCAAATCAATTAAATACTAGATGGATGAAACGTTTTGAAATTTTGAGCCAAAATCTGATGGAGGAGGGATTCGAACCCATAAAATAGAAGCAAGGGAAAATGTGAGGCTTTGAATGAAGTATTGATTTGCTTGCTGCCTACAGAGGATGCTGAGATAACGGAGGTAGATGGATGGCTTCAAAGAGGATGCAGGCAGTTCCTTGCTCAGGTCCTGCAGGATGGCTTGTCCAGTCAGGAGAGACAGGATGACAATTTTTGCTGACATTTGCCAACAGTCTCATGCTCACTTTCTCCCACCTGATGGGACACACTTCAGGTTTTTACTCATTTCTTTACATTATTCAGAAAAAGGAAAACAATGGGTGCAAATTATATATTGCTTTCTATCTCCCCTTCATTATTCCATGCTCATTAATTCCTTAAGAAAAGAACAATAGTGCTTTTACTGAGCACATCCTATACACAGCCAATATATGGCACACAGATTTAAAACTAGCAGCAGTTCAGTGAAATCTGTGTGTGCTGAGGATCTAAGTGAGGGATCCGTGGGTAAGAGAGACTCAAAGACAAGAGTAGGCAGAGGCCATGCTGACGCCACAGTGGTTATAATGCTCTGCAGCAGAAGGTCACCTTCTAGAGCTGAGCGAGGACGTGCTAAGCAAACCCTCCATGATAATGAAGCACTCTCAGGCACCTAATGTGTAGCAATTTAAGCATCTGCAAGTAAAGAGCCTTGCTCCTTCTGGTTTGTAAACCCAAACCTCTAGAGAGCTAGAGACAAATCCATCTCTGTACAGGTTATTTCGGTCTACCCACCCACTTGATTGTCCTGCCCAGTAGGTCTAAACTTTGCTCTGAAGCAGAGTTTGAGGATTATTTCAGCATTCTTGTTCAACAAAGTGATTTTGTCTGGAGTGAAGGAACCTTCTACGGCCACATCAGCAATGCTCTGTGACCTGAAAGACAAATGGAAACAGACAGATATAATTATTACCCGGCACACATATGAACTTTACATAGAGGGCCCAGAGCCAATATTGTCTAATTTATCTACCCCTTGTCTTAGAATTTGAGCAGGAAAAGATGGCAGACAGGGACAATGCCTTTTTTGTTTGTAACCATGTTGCCAGCACAACCCACATGCAAGTTTTTAAAAACTTATTTTTAGTAAACAACACTTCATGAGCACAGGATGGGAATCTGAAACAGCTTTGCAAATGAAATGCTAAGTCGTGATCCCTCTGTGTCTTCCCAACTCGAGGTAGGGAATCAGTATTACTCTCTTCTCTCACAAGGGCAAGGGAGAGGGAAGGTAGGTTGATGGGGGGGTGACAGGGCTGAGTACTGTGGTCCTGGCTTTTGCCCTTCTGCCTCCAGGGTTCACAAGGGTCAAGATGTTGGCAACTAAGCTAATGGCAGGAGATGACTGAGGACTGAGTCCATCACAGGGTACCTGTGCTTTCTGATCCTGTTACAGCTCTCTAGAAATCCAACATATGGCCTTGTTTGCTCCTTCAACACTTGAAACAGAATAAATAGCTCTATTTTATCAATGAAAAATGTGTGAAACACAAGATATTTGGTGGCTTTAGTAGTTTACTAGGTACTTACCAGTGAAGAATTAGAACCTACAGTCCCTGAGTCCTGCTATTACTGATATTCCTGCTTCATCAGAATGACCCCTGTACATACCTTTAGCTATTTATTTACAATAATTAGTAATTTCACATTCCTGAAAATTATCAAAAGGAGATCCAGGACCATTTACTTCCTGGCATCACTTGAAAGACTGCTTTAATAGTTCATATGTAATTGTAACTTCTCTTAAATAAACAGCCATAAAACATCTAATAATAAATGTAACATGTCCTCAGGTTTACTAGATCTAAAATGCTCACGTGAAAATA